AAATTTGCAATATTCGTTATGTTTGAATTAATTCCTCATAGCTGCTTAACAGCTTAACATATTACTTATTAATATTTAAATATTATTATATATTTAAAAAATGTATTAAAAATATATTTTGCAAATACGTATCCTCTGTACCATTTCTGCATTGATGGCATCCAATGCTGACGTAGTACGTACGTAAAAACTGGTAAAAAATATGATACTATATGGTATACAAAGTTGATATAATACCCATTCTTCTAATTTTATTCAACTTCAGTATTATCACAATGTGAAGATTATTTTTAATAATGTAAATAATACAACTGTTACTGCATTGTTAGCCATTAACTTCTAAAAAGTGGTGTTAGAATAGGATATATTCCCATACAATACTACAATTATATAGCGACATCAACTGAATGTTTTAATTATTTATTAGAAAAAAGAAATGATTGTTTCAGTTTCTGTTTAACACTTTAAAACTATGTTACAAATTTGCGATACCTATGTGTGTGGTACACAGTAGTGGAGCATACCAAGTATATGATTGCTTCATCTGCTTACATGCACGAGACATATCACTGTAATATTTGCAAATCATTCTCTAGACAGGTTACCATGACATTAAGATTGAATCTAAAATCTGGGTGACTGCGCCCATCATGACAATGGATGTATATTGACAAATCTTTCCAGCCAATTTTAAATTATCGCCCTGATGTAGTGGTTAGTGATAAATAAATAAGTAAACGCGACAAAGGTATTTCCATTATCACAAGCAAATCTCTACCAAACGCGTAGTGCATTGTGCTATTGTCCATTGTATCATGAGCATGTGGTCTTATTCACTTTCAAATAGTGGCACCGGTCACAAATATGAAAATCAGCTTTTCACCTGATAAAACACGGAAACTTCAAAATAGGGAATTGCATCGGCCATCATCTTTGTCGATGAAGTTTTACTGAGGGCTTGATTGTTCGAGCCATGATCAAACATCTAAGATTATAAAATACAAGTATATTAACATTATATCACCTTCATTTTACCCTTTCGTTTGCATGCGATATGCGATATGCGATATGCGATATGCGATAACAATGAAATCCATATAATTACATAATCAAAAATCTCATTTCGCTGATGATTTTAAAAATAAGACAAATAGGGAAATGGTTGAAAATATAGACAATGGAACGGAAAGTTCTTGACATTTTCAAAATTTCACGAACATTTAGGAAAGAGTGTAACCGTGGGTGGTTTGCTGTGCCACAACTAGTTAAAATCACGTATTGGCAGGTGTATAATGACTCTCTTATTACAGGATATGTTTCTGTGTGACCCGTATCTTTACAGAGTTTTACAACTTGAATCTGATTTCACTAGGAAACGATATGTTCCAATTAGACCATGCGTCTTCCTATTTCTATTGTGAGCAGTTAGGGCGGCGAGAAGGAGGGGAAACATGTGACTCACTCGATTTAATTAGTGCTAACCTATTGAAATACGTGTTACGGGTCCAACACCCCCTTTTCGCGACTTGTATATGACAGTATTATCAGGAATTTGTGAAAACATGGTCGTGCACGCCTGTTTGGAAGAAGTCAAATATTCCATTGAAACCTGAGCCTTGTTTTGGTGGGCTGCAAGGGTACTACCTTAACCCGGTCCCAATGGCGGACAGGTGTGTGTGACCCATGTTTGTTGCTAGAGACACTGTGTCTAAAAGTAACCACGAATCGCCTATTTTACAAGTTTACTGTCTGATCGATGAATGGTTTTCATTTGCTGGTCGTTTAGCGCGGGGTGTCTGGTCGTGAGATTAAACATTACTAGCACACAATTATCCAATGAGCTGTGGTCAGGTCTAAGCCCGGGATGCAAGGCGCCAGATGACACTTGCCAATGCAAACATATATACAATGCTCTGGCAAGTGCAGAACTTTTAATAACATTTTCCTTCCATATCGAATATCCAAATGCGAGCAAAGCTGCTCATCTCGCGTTGGCACGATAGAATTAACTGGAGGTTACAAGTGCAGTCTGTTTCAGTACCATTGGGGACATTTTACACGGCTCACGACAACATGGCGTTAGGTCAACAGCAGAATGAAATCAATATCATAGTGTAACTATTGTCATAACTGAAACATCTAAACATTATTAATCATATCACAACAGAAATACACCCTTCAAACACCATTAACCCCAGAATGCAGAGTTCCTATTGGGAGACATCATATCACCTTGCTGGTTGGAACCATTTCATACAGCGTATTGCTATTAATTAGCCAATGTGCGTTGTGATACAAATCTGAAAGGATATTTACTTTCTCTGTGTTGGTCGATGTACGTGAAACATTATCTGATTAACTTTAATGTAATTTCGTTTTTTATGTTCGAACTTCAATAGATGAATCATGTCTTAACTGAGGTCTTTTATAGAAGCATGTTGGTGAGGAAATAAACGCAAAAAAAGTGTGTGACATGTTATTAATAGTTATATCTATAGATACAACCTTTGAAATAATCATAAAGATTAGCTTTTTTTTAAATCACATTCGATATGTACCCGAAGTTGAGCTGTAAAATTAGGTAGTGACACACAAGATGCTAACTTTTCATCTTATTTTATTGATGCATTAAATATGTTCCATTATATTTTTCTCTGAGTATATCTTAGAGTTTCAAATAGCCTATTAACCCTGACGAAAGTTTGAATTCTGTCTGAGACATTTGTATTATACGAAGTGAAAGACGAAAGTTGTTCCAGGGCGGCAAGTGCAAAAACTCAATTATTAGTTTTTGTCTAAGAGGTCTCTCAGGGCAAATGGTTTAGGAATCTTGTAAGATGGTATTTGAGTCCCTGTTTCATGCTTCACGTCCATAATCCGCTAGGTTTTAGAAGGCCTCTGTAAATCCCTGTTCGCCACCCAAGAACCTACCCGTCCAATAATAGAGTGAGCAGCTTCTCCATTTACAACTTTTCTTTTGATAATGTCACAACAATAAGCATATAATGATTTGATGAAACCCTAGATACCATCAAAGTGGATTTTGCCATGTGATACTACAAGACAGGAGTTGTTCATCGAGGACCGGACAAAAATCCTAACTCTTAATCGTCCAATACCGACTCTGGTCTCATCCGCTGATAGGTGCAACGTCTTAGAGAGAAGATGTACCTCGTCTCATTATAATGGTCTTCGTTCCCACGAACCGACTTAAGAGTTGTTGCTTTCAGAATACATGCACGAGACGATACCTGATAGCGCTCGGGGACGGTCTACGCCATAATGTAGAGGTGGGTGTGGCCCTGTACCCGCTACCACCACGTCTTAAGAGGTGTTGGTCCACAACCCAAGACCCACAAGCCGCGGTTAACAAAAGCGAAACATTAGACGACCAAATGTAATCAATCAGTACTGAAAAGAGGCACGTAAGAAAATTTGTCAAAACGCGCCGTGAATCGGACAAGAGAAGCCCAGTTGAGGTATTACTCGCGTAGCATTAGTCGTGTCGCTTGTACGAGTGTAAGGCTGATATTAACACCTTTGCCAAATAGATTACACCACTGAAATGCTTCCTAAGTCTTGTCAAACGCTATTCTGTTCTCTCACGTTCGTCCGCTACACATGACGCTTTTAAGGGGTTAGTAATAAGAGATGTCCCGCATACAAGTTCTAAAGCTGTTGAAAAAACTCTTGCTTTGATAGTGAAAATCAACTCCAGTTTGGCCTAGCCCAATTAGACGTATTAAATCTACACCCTTTCAAATGTCACTGCAGATTCGGTGTTCGACTAAAAGGGTTTCGGCGGGGTTATTTGCTGAGTCCTTCTCTGTTTTGACCACAATGCTATGCAAAACAGTTCCTTATTTACTTTATCTAATCTAAGAGATTGGACACGGTTGGAATCGATATTCAACTCAGCTCTGGCAATGTTTTCTGTTTGATTTGATCATAATAGTGTTAGATTTTCCCCTCTTGACTGGAGTTCATCTGGTACTAACACTATGTACATGTGTACACCCTATCAAACCTAACCTGGAAAGTCGTGATAAAAGACGCATTAGACGTTTGACAACCCGTTTAATAGGAGATTGCATGCGGTTCATATAAATATGTATCATAAAAAAATTCAACTAGGTGCCTCTCTTGTCTCACTGCTCTCCATCACTTTAGAAAATATATCATGTGACACACCCATGCATAGGGGCATTCGTGAATGACCATGATTGAAAGTGGAGAAAGCATTATATATATTTTCATTTATTTGCTATTCATGTCATGTACATCTCTCCCGGGGTATTACACCAGTGACCATGAAGTAAGGAGCTTTCGCTGGTTCGCTTCAGCCAATGGGCTTTGTATTATTTCCGTTACAATTTTGTGTGTGCAAATGTCAATGTTTTGTCTTGAGCGTATTACATGCGTCTGATATAACAAGAAGACTACCAAAAATAGTTAGGTACACATTATAGCTCTCCTTGTCCTCCATACACACTAATCGGATCTGGGTGTAGCTGGAACCCTTTAAATGACCAGAAGTGTGCAAATCGCCTAACCCTGAAAGCCTACTGCTCTACTACCTGTGAGCAAACGTCTAAAGTCTGTGACAACTATGCGGAGTTCTTACATCATTAAGCAGTTCTCATTGTGCACTGATCGGATGAGATATTTACTCGTGTTCCATTACACCATCGTGCGTAACATGTCCTACGTGATTCCAACAAGACAAACATTCTCAGTAAATTGTTGACCGTTTGATTTAGGTAAGACACGAGTGTTTAACTAGCCAAAATCTCTGACTAAAGCGTCATCATTCAATGTCAATCTCATTGAGTTGAAGCCTACGGGCAACACTAATCGCATCATTGTTTTAGCTCTCCCATTTCAATCCCCTATTGGCCTTCCGAAGCTTCTGCACCAGACACGCTCGCCAAAGGTTCCTAATCAAAGACTTGAGTTTTCTGCCCATGTTCACTCCTGTTAAGCTAGAGTTGCGCGTGTACAGGACAATAGCTTTGATTATTATTATCTCCCACTCGGCCTGTAGTGGCATGTTGCAAACATTCTAAGCCCTCGCAAATCTGTGCCCGAATCTGTCGCGAGTAGACCGGAGCATGCCTAGCCAGTAAGTGACACTGTCTTGTTGCTATCAAAGTCAATTGGGCTGTGATGAACGTAGCCTAGTGAAGGTTCTAGTCCTAACCGTCCACCGTCAGTTGTCTCATGAAGCTTGTTGGACACGCAGGGCCGCGCCAGGGCTCTCTACTCAACCCGTCTCTTTCTTGTTTGTCTGTGGTCAACTGTCTCAACGACTTGGTCTCAGAAGCAAACTCAGGATACTGTTGTGCTTGTGACCCTGTTCATGTCGGTTGTTGGATTAGACAATAGGTAGGACAGTGCATTATTAGCTGTTTTATGCTTGCCTTTATAACCTATTAGACATTGTGGTATTGTTGCTAATGAAATAACATATTACAGAGATATAATGCATCGAAGTGTAGTCCTTGCATGTGTGATTCAACGTACTAATTATAATGGACATGAGCATCAGATCGGAGTTCCGCTTACAGTGCATTTTTCTTAACTTTTCTCAGTTCAGATGTGGTGCACGTGTCTTTCGTCGCAACGTCTTCATATATATGCAACATGCGCACATATGTGAACCTTTTAATGTTTATTTTAATATGGGTAAAATGTACCGCACATGTTAAAGGAACGTGCGGGTGACAGTGTGCTTATATTAAGTGACAGTTTGCATTGTTTGCTTCAAACAGGTCTGACACAATAGAACCTTCAACTTTACCAAAATCTGCGAAATGAATTCCATTAAAAGAGCATTATCAAATCCATTTAATATAATTTTACATTTTGTTCCGACATGTTCATTTATTTTTGATGAATGTATAACTGAGGGTTATAATATATAAAACGAGACCATAATATAAGAACAGTGCCAATATGCTAATTAATATATTTTATTTCTAGACAAATACCCATACACTTTGCCATTTGTCGTTAGTTATCAGGAAGTAAGCCCGATCTTTAAATGAAGCACTTTAAAGAATCTTCCAAACAAGTTAATCATTTTTGTCTGCACGTTTCAGAAGCATGCAGGGATACGGAGGCTTCGGCATGCAGCTGCAACACCCGCCACCGATGTTTGGTCTACCAACCCATGCGCAGGCAGGACTTCCGCAGCCACTTTATATCGGAGGACAGTTTCCGGGTATGCATCCCAACCTTCACTCGTCAGTGCAGACATTAAGTTTAGCAGAGAGGTTGGCGGGTAAGTCAAGCTGGTCTGCTGGCTCCCCATCTCTCGATCTGCCTCTCTCAGTCAATCTTTCAGTCACTTCGACTGTCTTTCACTCCATCTTTCTTTCCATCTATCATCTCTTTCATTATCGGTGATGACTTCTCTATGCTTTCTTTGCTAAAAGTCATATTTTCCATATGTTGATAAAATTGACAAAACTCTATAGTTAGCAAGCTGCTTTTGTTAGATACTTTAAGTTATGCGAACGTATTCATTAGGTGAATTCATGCATTGATTCGGTTCACTGATACATAATTGTGTACCTATAATATGTGTACCTATACCTGATAATATGTGTACCTATCAATACTTTATTGACTGATATCAGTTTATACAAACAAAAACAAGCATATTGTATCAAAACCATGGCAAAAATCGTAGATCATCATATTCCTGTCAATATTGTTCATGTTTGCAACTATTGAGTCAAATTATGTTATTACAAATAATAATAATGCCATGTGTAGGTTATTCAACCATTCTGTTCTCAAAATGGACGAATACATCTTGGGCAATGACATTAATATGTAGATTGCTTACATTTAAATTCTTTAATTTCAGATATCATTCTTGAAGCCAGGTATGGTGCCCATAGAAAACAACGAAGAAGCCGAACTGCCTTCACAAACCAACAGCTGGCAGCATTAGAGAAGACATTTGCCAAAACCCACTACCCAGATGTTGTCATGCGAGAACGCTTAGCAATGATGACCAATTTACCTGAAGCTAGAATACAAGTATGTACACAGTGTATTATAAAGAGGGTGTGCATGTACTGTCATTCCTTATCGATCGGTATTGCAAACACGCGTGTGACGCAATCGACCTATTGCACAGCTGAGATTAATGTGTAGACGATTATGGCCTTGGTGTGTGCTGGTGGATCGAGAAGCCAACAGGAATATAACATACATTAACATAACATTTACTTTGACATACACATCATCCACGTATGCTCTATATATGTTAAGCGCCAATTTGACTTTCATTGTCTTGTACGCCTGTTTAACTTCTTTGTCCTATGGTTAATTTACATGCGTGACACCGAAAACTGTGGACCTATTTTATCGTTCTCAGGCAGTTATCCAGACAGATATGCATGTTTGTATTTTTTTTATTAATGGTAGATTGTATTTGCAAAATGAAAATGTTAATACCAAATTAAACTGACTTTTATTAGTTCTACACCTGTGTGCCACGTCAGTAGTAATTCTAATATCTCATACTTTGAAACACTAAAACATATTTGTTCTGTTTGTTTATGTCGTGTAGATGCAGTTGACACGTGCGCTGATGATTCATGCGCCACAGTTATTAACACTGACTACAACTACATAAATTTTGTTGTGACCGAGATACAAGCATGATTATCCCTCAAATGTTTTATCAAATTATTGTGTTTGAAATATTACTGAATGTATTTATGTTAAAAATATGGCCAAGCCCCCCACCCCCTTACACCGAAAATAATAATAATAATAATAATAATAATAATAATGAGAAGATCAGCTGTCCTGCAGAGTCCTTCACTTGATGAAGTCGTCTGGCCTGAAAAGTGAAACAGAAGGCTTTCTGTTTGCTGCTCAGGACCAGTCACTTCCGACCCGAAACCGTCAACGTGTGATTTTGCATCAAAATGTGAATATGAAATGTAGATTATGTAATGAATTTAATGAGACTGTTTAACACATTGTGAGTGGATGCCCAGCTAGGGCACAGAGTATTTTAAGCGACATGATGGGGTGGCTCGATTATTTTATTACCGTCTTCGCCAATCTTGTGGTTTTGACACAGAGATCCATCCATGGTACGACCCAGACTATGTAGAGGGCGTCATGGAAAATGATAAATACAAAATCCATTGGAATAGGCCCGTATACAGCCTCAGAAATATCCAGGCCAACAAACCTGATCTTGTCCTTTTTGATAAATCCAATAATCATTTATATCATTGAATTTTCTGTCCCTTGTGACATTGAGTGAGTGAGTTTGGTTTTACGCCGCTTTTAGCAATATTCCAGCAATATCACGGCGGGGGACACCAGAAATGGGCTTCACACATTGTACCCATGTCGGGAATCGAACCCGGGTCTTAACCACAAGGCTACCCGACCGCCCCTCCCTTGTGACAGTAATGTGATTGACAAGATTGAGGAAAAACCTGGCAAATATGCAGACCTCGCTTTCGAAATGTCACGCTTGCATCCCAAGTACCAAGTTGTCCGACATCCCATTGTTTTCGGTGCCTTAGGTTTGGTACCTCCCAATCTGTTGACTGACATTGGGAGAGTACCCGGGTTTGCTACCAGGAATACAGCCCTTCTGCAATCTCGGTACTGCAGAATGCTGCATTGTTTGGGAGTCTTCACATTCTCCGAAAAGTTCAGGGTGGGTTTTACTTGGCAGCGCTACCTTGGAGAAGTCCCATTCGCTGTCTTGGCTGCGTTGAGAGGGGCAAGGGCCCTGAGCTGATGATGAGCCTGACCAGCCTGACTGTGCCAGGATCACCCAAACCCTCTTTGCCGCATTTTTTATTTTAATCTGTAAATAATAATAATAATAATAATAATAATAATAATAATAATAATGGGAATTCTGGAGTTTGTGCCTAATACGTATAGGCCTTAACTTCCACGAGATGGTGAATAACTTCTCCCCCACGTAAACTGAATGATCCTCCCTCTTCTACCTTGCCACGTTTGAAATGAATACAGCCCTTCTGACAATCTCGGTAATGCAGGAGGCTGCAGTGTTGGGGAGTCTTCACATTCTCCGAAAAGTTTTGGGTGGGTTCGACTAGGCAGCACTTAGTGGGGGAAGTCCCATTCGCTGTCTGGGCTGCGTATAGACGGGCCAAGGGCCCTGAGCTGATGATGAGCCTTACCAGCCTGACTGTACCAGAATCACCCAAACCCTCTTTGATGCATTTTTGTTTTTTTAATCTGTAAATAATACTAAACACAAAATTAAACACCAACAACGAACAAAATAATTATAAATCATCTACACCGTATGAAAAGCTGGACAGAGATACAACTAATTTGAACTGTGACATTGCTAGTTTTAAAGCAAAGGGCAAGCCCTTACGGACATTCATAATGTGTTTCTTCCGATAAAAGGAACAACGTCAACTAATTGAAAGCTTACGCTTGCGAGTCACTGCTAAAAAAGTAATAATGAAGCCGAAAACAGCAAAACAAATTGTGTTATTGTTTCTTACTTGCGAACATAAACGCTCAGTATCCAGTTTGAAATGAATGCCAAATCCTGGGACAAATTTATCATTCAAAAAAATGCGATTGAGGGTGCAGCAAGAATGACGAGAACGCCATCGCACTGTAGTTGCTCTGTGTCAGCAAGATCATTTGTTTATAATGCAGCGATCAAGTAACTTCTTACGCTGCCCGTGTTTCCACGATCAATAAGATGTCAACAATATCGAGCAAAATTCAAACATTATGTGTTAGGAGACTAACACGGCGACGCGTTTTAACCAGTGAATGTATTTGTGTTATTATTAACTCATTCTACCTGCCTTGCATGCTTTCCAAGATTATACCAACACTTCGTTTAAACAATTGATTACCTCATTAAGGTTTTATTTTATCAATGCGTGTATCGTGTATTTTCAGGTTTGGTTCAAAAACAGACGCGCCAAATATAGGAAAAAACAACGGGCTATAAAAGGCAAAGGGAAGGAGTCGTCACAAGGAAGCACAAGCTCGGCATCAGCGTCGGAGTCGAAAGAGGAACCTACTGAAGATGTTGGCAGAGATGAGGGGTCAGACAAAGAGGTGAAATCGGCCAACGAGGAGGACGAGGATTCGGATGGAAATGACGTGATGGAGGAAGGGTCTGTGTCAGTAGATGTGGAATCCATGGAAGGGAATGGAGAGTGTGAATCTGTGACAGACAATGATACCACTGTTGACAGCATACATAGCGAGGAACCGAAGCCAAATGGTAAGAAAGTGGTGCAGTGTGTCCTCTCTGTTTGGTATTAGTCCAACAGATGTTATTCAGGTATATCAACAGAAATTCTGCCAATGTATCACAATTAAAATAAACTGTAAAAGAAAGTAAACACCCATGTTTGACAGTGGCTAAACATGAAACAAACTGGAAATGATTATTAAAGGTTATGTATTTAATACGGGTAGCATAGTTGTGTTTAGGACGTTAAGTGTACAGTGTTTCGGTGACTGTTTTCAGCTTAGTTACGTTTTGATAACTTTTGTAATTACTTGGCCAAATCCAATTTTCAAGTGTATGCTTTTTTTTTGCTGCAGTCTAGATGTAATGGATTATTAATGTCTGTTTAAAAAACCTAAGTCATCAAGACATAATAGGACACCATTGTAAGGCAAGCTGTTCTTTGCATGTCGTTCTAAGCATTTGACAAGTGACATTTTATGCCCGTGTAAGTAGGTGTTCAGATGGGTTACGAACCCCAAACCACGTTTCTCCAATGTCAATCTTTGTAATGTGTCTTACAACAAATGACATTTCAGAGAAAAAGCATGCCCACAGCGAGGAAACTGTCACAGACTACCGTGTGCTTGTGGACAAGAAAGTAGACGAGACAGAGAAATCCACCACGCCGCTCTCTCAGGAGCCCACGAGATGTAATGAAATTGACGTGATTTCCTTCCATGGACAGCAAAAAGGTAAGTTAATCATTTCCCCCCCAATTTTCCCCAAAATGAAACTAACGTGAAACTAACATTATCCAATTTGGGGATATTTCATAAACTGAATTCATCTCTCTCACTAAATTAATACACACCTAATAACCCACAAGAAACAAAACTTCTAACATTGTCAGCCTTTTCTGATACATATATTTCAAGTACAATCAGCATGCCAAACCTAGGGGACTTTAATTGTGTAACTATCAGATATGCCCAAGTTAAATATACGAAGGAGGGATTACTGTTACAGTGGATGATAGTGCTTGTTGTGACAAATGTATATATTCAGTTGATATCAGTCAAACTGTCCGTCTATAACAGTTAAAATATTTATGCCATAAGATTTAATTTATGCTGAATACCAATTGGTAACTGACAGTAAAAAACGGTTTTATTTAACATATAGAACGCATCAATATTTTAATCATAATATTACACCATCATTTGTAACAAAGATACACTAGAACTCATAAGAACAATTATTCTTGTCTATACTATGTGGGCAAACTCTAACATTACTGCAAAGTATGTCAATTGCCTATCAGATATACAATTTCATGACGATATGTAACTGTGAAATTTGATTGTCAGACCACGTAGGGTTATACGCTAAAGGAGCAAACCCCTAAAAAATGAAAATATAAAAATGCATTCATTGGCACTGCATGATCTCAGCATGGGACTGACCTCCCCGCCCTCTTACGTATATAAGTAGTTCAAATCGGATTAAACACGATCATGTGAGAAGAATGCCCAACAATACTTCTTAGGGGTTTTATGTTTATCTAAATACGTAATAAGATTACTGTGGACGGCGATTTCAAGGACAGCTTAATTTAAAGGTCTCTCTAATTGGGAAAACGTCAGGAACCGCAAATATTATTTCACTAATGCTGTAACCTTGTGATATAAACTTCTCTGCACAGTGTTTGATGGGTTAAAGTTCATTATCAGTGGAAATAAATACACTGCACCTTATTTCGCATTCCAACTTTGAGTCTTAGTCAACAATGCAAGCACTACCATCCAGTGTATTAAGTGAAACGCATGCTTATTAATATATAAATAGAAATTCATACCCCAGTCTTGGGATAGGCATCCCATATAGTTTTAACATTAATATGAAAGTAAAGATGTAATGTAACAGTTTTATTTCAAACTACTTTTTATTTCTTCATATTATTTAACTCACGAATGCATACATGATAATTGATAGATAAAATAAACCCACTTCCTTGATTTACAGACAAATTGTTCGTAATTCGGAAAGTATCTCCCGCATCTTTAAACGTATACGTCGCAGAACTGCAATAATGTTAAATGACATTAATGAAATGATTATGTTGCAAGAGTTTACATTTGGACTTTTCCTCAGTATGTCCAGTAAACAATTATTTGTTTTGTTAACTTAATGTTCCTGTTTGGCGTCGGGGGACATCACAGTCCCTCTCCAGAAATCAGATCAGGCCCCCTTGTTTCATAAAAGAAACATTGTTGTGCATCAGTGAAAAAAAACTCTTTTTTATTGTTTATTTTTTTTATTAATGATTTTTTGGGCTTAGAATTACATGCAACACTTATATGTTCACAGGTACGGAGAGCAGTTACCATCGAGCCCCCATGCCATACCAGTACCCCATTCCTCAGCTCGGCCTGTTCAACTTCCAACAACACGCTTTCGCAAGCGCCATGTTCCAGAAACAACTACAGATGCAACAATCGGGTGTTCCACAAGTCCCCCTCTTCCCATTCGGCTCAGGGGGAATCAACCCCCTCAACGGATGGCCTTCGTACTACCCTACTTCCGGTTTACCCGATATTCCTGCACCACCAACATCCAGACCGGAGCCACCAAGACTGCCTCCTCCGGCGCATGCGCCACCACTACTTAACAGTTCTCCCAATCAAACGAAAGACGCTCTTCTGACATCAAGTATAGAAAGTCTGCGGTTCCGGGCAAGGCAACATGCTGCTTCCCTTGGATTTTATGACAACGTGTAACATAATGACTATTTGTTCAGTGACATTTGAAAACCTTAATACCAAAGTTGTCATGATACAATGCGAAATAAATCATCTTAGATGCTGTTCCGTAGTAAGAACATCTAATGCGCGGTGAATGCCTAAAGTATCCCCACCAAAATCTTCCACTATTTGCCAGATGCACGGCGAATGCCTAAAACTGCTCCCAACAAGGATCTTCCACTATTTGCCTGATGCACGGCGAATGCCTGAAACTGCTCCCAACCAAGATCTTCCACTATTTGCCTGATGCACGGCGAATGCCTGAAACTGCTCCCAACCAAGATCTTCCACTATTTGCCTGATGGACGGTGAATGCCTGAAACTGCTGCTCCCGCCAAGATCTTCCACTGGTTCCAACCATGCATGATGATTGCCATGACTCCCTTCCCATCAACATCTTCCATTGTTTGCCTGGTGCACGGTGAATGCCCCAAACTGCTCCCCTGAGGTTCTTCCACTGATTGCCCCAAGTACGGGATTGCCATAAGCTCTTCTTCCACGTTTTGTACGTAGCGCACAGTGACAACAACAAAGTAGTGTCATCCATGAACAAGTCTATCGTCACCATTTCCTATTACTGTGGTTCCAATGCAAACTGACAAAACAGACGTTGTTGTCTGCTGTTCCCGGTACCGAAATACATTGAAAACAACAAAAGAGCGCCCCATCACGATTCACCATGTCTTCATCTGCAGAACGATTACAACCTTAGACTTGTTTATTCAAGTACAATTTTCTGTCCAGTTTGCTCCTTTCCTTCCCATGGTCGAGTTCACGGAACTTTATGACTCTTGCAAGTATGTGATATGTATAGGAGTCATGTTCTTTGTGAAAATGATCCTTGGTTCGCTTTGAGACCTTGCACGTTATCTGCGAAATCTTAAGATTCTAAGACATTTTTATTTCCATTTGTTATCTTCAAGTAGAACAAATATTTAAGTTGCAAATGTATTTTGTCAAAGGTTATGAGCTTGTCAACACGAAAGGGTCGAGTTTACTGCCTCGGCCGCAAATGCTAAAGTGAGAAATAAAACATACACCATTGTTTGATGGTTCCTAAGAATGAAACAACCAAGAAATGGTTATTCGTTGGTGATGTATTTGATACGGGTATAATAGTTGTGTTTTGGGCCTTAAGTTTGCAGTGTTTGGGCGACTGTGTTCAGGTTAGTGACGTTTTGATAACGTGTGTATTGTTTTGGTCAAATCCAATTTTAGTGTTAAACTATCGGACAGTTTTCTTTCATAACACAACGACTATGAGAAAACTCGACATCTCGTGTTTCCAGGTTTATAACTGTGAACAAAATAAGCATACGAGCATCACTGAAGAAGCATTCATAGATATGTATAAGCCATTAGTCGGACAGTGAATGCGGTGCAGTACGCAGATACTATTTCGCAGTTAACTCTTACATGACAACACCATTAGTAGTTCGAAGATCGATTTCTGGCTTCCACATAGATCATGCCATGTTGATAAACTCTACGACTCAGCCAAATCGGTGCCATTGTTATAAAGGAATCATCAGGCATCAGCCTTATGTGTGTTTCCATGGCGACAGCAGGTGACTTTAATGTCACTTGAGCAGTATTCATAATGAACATAAACCTACGTTTATGCATTAAAATAAATACCCATCCCTCAGGGTAAAAATTTGTGACATATATTAAATAATACATTGTAGTCGTACCTTGTTCAGGAAATATATGCACATAATTATTGTGATATACATGTACTGTGAAATAAATGCTAACCGTTATATGCAACATATACACGTTTCGTTTTATTTTCTACAATATAATGCTATGTAGATCAGCAATATCTTATGATACCTCACGTGATTACCTCACGTGACGCAATATTGCGGCTAGACGAATGGGCTGCATTTATGACGACACTTTTGTCTTGTGGTTTTGGGGTTATATTTTAACTGCACCCAGCAATAATCAGTTACATGACGACGGTCTGTTAACAATCGAAACTGGACCAGACAAACCTGTGATTGATATAATGAGCAACACCCAACAGATTACGATGACACGCAAACATTCAAGGCACCGAGCCCGACAACCGAATTTATTTATTCGCCCCATACGACAAGGTTTTGGACCTATTCCAACCCGGAAACTGCACGATGGTTAAAAGACGGTGATGTTACAATGAGTGCGTGAGTGAAGTGGGTTTAACGCCACTTTGAACAATAGTCCAGTTATGTCACGGCGTCTCTGTTTGCTGTGGCAGGAAAGCCCGAAAAGATGCAGGTCTCAGACCCACGAGCACGGGTATAGAGCTGACAAACCTAGAAACCTTATCGGGGCGAACCAGGATTCGAACCCACAATCATAGGTTTCTGCACAGCAAATTGCGACGCCATAGACGACTGGGCCACCCGTGCCCCATATGTTACAATTACAGGAATGTGATCGTATCATAATATCACAGTGATGTCAATGAAAACACACTGTGAAGTAACAGTGATAGCGTGATGCAATCACACCTCACTGTTCTATAAGATTTACAGTCATGGTGGCTATAGCTAGCAATTGGATTCTTTTAAGAAATATTCTTAAATTTATTTTCCAGAAGCTCTGTTATAGGTTCTTTGCAATGAACTGGACAGCTGAGTCACTGACAATGACTTTGAAATTAGTCGACAAAGAAATACATCTGGGACTAGGATATCATTACAGCATTTATATTCCTTATAAATGATTATTAAAAAAATGTTAACTGATAAATTTATAATCTATCCAACTTGGATTGAGGTCACGATAATTTGTAAACTTGATGTTTTCATGAAGCTTTTGAACGGATTTAAATATACTGAGGGTCAAAAGAAATTATACGTCTCAGTTAATGTTGGATGATCAATTGAAAATGACTTAGCGATAACGTTAGCGATATTATATCTAAAATATGAACTCTACTGGCGCTTAATCAGCACTCAAAACATTCTTCTAAATGGTTTTATTAATTTTTTGAATAAAATTTGATTTAAAACTGTTAACAGTTATGTAATAACATTTCGCGTACGACCCAGCTTTATATGGATAGCTTAAAATCTTAGAAAATAAATATTAATAATTCGAACTTGGTATGGGTTTTGTGGTTGCAAATTCAATTCTTACCCCAGTCTTCATAGATCAAGTTTAATTTTACACACGATTATCCAGCAACAGATTAAATTTTACAAACTGTTGCAGGAAAGAGTGATGGTTATATAGACATAATCAAATTTAACAACAGCTCTTTCAAATTTCAATTACATAAAAACCAAACTCGCTATACTCCTTGCCCCTCAATTGACATATTTCCTACACAATAACGTAATTGTTTATAAGCATGTTATATACATTAAGATAGCGGATATGTGCAGGACAGAATCTGGCTTCACAGTGTGTTTCAGTCAACACTTGTCAACTCGAGTGTGTCATTCTTATAGTGCACATGTCGTGGAGTACAAGATTACGGTCGTATTTCCTCCAAAAATGGATTAGCCATTGGTCTTGGTGCGTCAACGTATACACATATGTGAAGTGCTGTATTCTTTAGACGCTTGGAACAGTTGTTTATTTATCGATCCTTACTGTGCCAGTATCATTGTTCGTGTGTTTTAACAATTAGATAACAACAAGTTAATTACACGTCTACAACATGTGGACTTTCCTCTCACATTTAAACACACCACCACTATACAACTGGCACCGTAAAGATCCGGGTAGAGAATAGGTCTTCAGCAAGAGGCGACTAACGGGATCGGGTGGTCAGGTTCGCTGACTGGGTTGATCGTATCCCAATTGCGTAGATCGATGCTCATGATATCAATCACTGGATTGTCTGGTCCTGACTCGATTATATACAGGCCACCGTCATATAGGTGGAATATTGCTGAGTGCGGCGTTCAACAACAAACAAATAAACAAAACGATGCAACTGTGAAATGAAGTGGTTGGTATTCGAATCCATGCCTGGTCAACTGGAAGTGCTAAATTAAATGAACATTATACGCTCTGCGCTAACATTGTTGCAAAGGACTATACTTATAGTCCACTGACTGATTGAGCTGATGGCTACAGAACAACTGTGTCTGACGTGGTCCCACGAGACGATATGTTGGAAACTGATAGTACCAGTCACCGGGGCATATTTTGTAATTGTGTACAATGTTCCTTCTCAATCATACGTATACAGTCATTCATCATGTGCATATAAATTCACATACTGCAAAATCATGGTTTGGATGACAGAAAGCACCACAATTACCGTTATACACCTATAAAAAAATAAAATGATTTTGCAGTCGTAGTCTCATACGAATTATTATGATATGTACATGTAGATTTATTGATGATAATTCTTACAGCCGTTTGATTAGCACAAACAGATTAGGTATCCACGACAACAATATATATACATGAACAGCAACAAGTTTACAACACGATGGAGCATACCAATATTTGGTTTTCCATAACATCTGCCCTTCTTTACTGAAGTGCTGATCTGTTACTTTTGGCAAGTGTTTTGTACGAAATTGATAGTATCGACATACGAATACCTCAATAAAATATTTTTCAAGATAATCTTCGGATATATTACTATGATCATATTAGCCTAAATATCCACTTTCTCCAAATCCCTTCCCATTTTTAGCGAAACAGATCCTTTTACGGCGCTTCAGTGAGTGTGGAGACTGTAGATTCAAAACAAAGCGACCAAAACATTACCCTGGTTATGAGAAATCTCTACTGAGAGCAGACTCTTTGGCACGATTCCGACTATAGCATAAGCACTAATTTATGAATCACTTATAAATTGTGATGATACAGGGTGTGAAAAGATGAGCGTATCCTACCCCGTCGATGTACCCCGTCACAAACACATGAAAAGGCAAGTCAATTGTTCACTTGAAAAAAACCACAGGAACCTATGGCACAAGTCAAATAGGGAATTGCATCGGACATCACTTTTGTCAGTAATGGAAATGTCCTCCACATGTCTGCCATAAAACCTTTTGAAAGCTTACCTGAGGCTTTGAATGCCGTAACCTTGATTTAACTAACCTCATTTCACAAACACCCTTGAGTAATCTTAAACAAATAGGTTTATACACGAGTCAAATGATTATATCCCAGTGGCGGTCAAGATTGACCAGAGTGTCCTCAGCAGTGGCCTGTCAGCATTACGTTAACCTGGTGTTACGTGAGTGAATGAGTGAGTTGACTGTACTGTACAGCAGTACTGTTACGGTGCGTCAGCTGTGGCGAGAATAACGTACGCAATACATGAAGATCGTATACGTGTATCACTTAATGAAAGTCATGTGATGCTAACAACCCCAGGATCATGTAGGAGCCAATGCTTCGATCAGAGTCAGTGGGTGAGAAATGTTTGTAGCCGCCACCAGCAATGTCTGCTTTTCGCGGCTGGGAATCCTAGAAACATGAATTCTGACACGGCTAAGGGGAGTTCTCTGCACAGCGACGTGTTATGAGTTAAAATTGCTTACATCCACTGTCAATAAATATGTTGCTAGAACACCTGATATCCCGGTTTATAGAACAAAGTATATTACAATTACACACAAATAAATGAATACTAACACATATACCAATATATATGTATTTTTTATTAAATAGTTCGTCATTTCATTATTTAAACGTATCATAATCATTCAATAACATTTGAACCAAGATTGAAAAACACTTTCGTTGCAAGTTCAGACTAAAATATCACCCTTACAGATAGACGTTTTTTAACAGAGCTAATAAACAAATATAGCACACTTCACACCCCTTTCAACACTATGCACAAACACCATTACTGAGAACTGATAAGCAATATACGATCAAATTGTTTTGCAAAATAAAAACTAAAGCAACTTCCCCCTAATCTCGGCTAGACGTAAACGTCATTGAGCGTAACAAGATCGTGCTATCCCACCTTCGTCTATCCCAGTGTAAAGCTCTTACAAGAGCTGCCCCTGGTACACGCAACATGGCGATAGATTCATCTACCTCAGGTTGAAGAACAGTTAATACCTCTATGCAGGCTACCTGATCAACGGTAAAGAATCCGTAGTAATGCCCGATGATTCTAAACTTCAACACCCTCCTTAAGGAGGTCTCAAGAGGTGTATTGAGTTGCCTGTGCACGGATTTGACCCGTTGGATAACAGGAGTGAGAAAATGACTGCACATGATGAAATTGCTCATTGAGATTGCTTGGTAGTTAGTGTGGACGGTATAGGTGTGATTGAGGGACGTGCTGACTACCACGGACAAATTACCTTATGGTTGCAATAGGTAATTATTTGATACATTTGCAATTTAAAATTGATTTATTTTTAATTAGTCCAGGGGCATGGGTTGCCAAACAACTAAACACATTCCGGTTACAGTTCTATTCAAAATAAACTGTTTGGTTGGAATGAATCTTTGCTAAAATATAAGGACCTAGGTTGTGAGTGAATGAGGTGGGTTTAACGCCCAGAATGCTGGTTACATCACAGCGTGTTAGCTTAATGGTGTGGATAAACATCAATCGCAAGAGTCATAAATCAGAGTGAGTGAGTATGGTATTACTCCGCTTTTAGCAATATTCCAGCAATATCACGGCGGGATACACCAGAAATGGGCTTCACACATTGTACCCACGTCGGGAATCGAACCCGGGTCTTCGGTGAGCGAACAGAGTCAAACGGGGACTGTCCATGTGATATGAGCGTATATGGGTATATGGTTAAAGGGTAGACCGTCAG